TTCAACGTCATCGCAGCATTAATAATGGAAGTCGTTGATTTCAAAGAAGATCAAGCGTTGAAGGTGATTGTTTGTGTTTACTCTCTCCTTGTACTTAATGGCAAAGAGAAAGCTATGGTTGCAGCCAGTAAATGTCCACGGTTAAACTTATGCTTTAATGACTGGCACCGTTTGCGGAATAATATATTATTTATTTATTTATTTATTTATTTATTTATTTATTTATATACCAAAGCCTGTGTCATTTCGTGAAAAATTTCTATTAGTTTTCGTTTTGTTGTTCTAGTATATATTATTGTTTATGATTCGCCTTCTCTATTATACATCCTTGTTTGAGAGTTTGTTTCTTTTCAGGTGATGATAATGCTAATTGAGAACGTGTTGCCGGCTGGATATTTTGATCAGACATTGAGAGCGCTGTCCGTCGACATGAGCGTTCTTCGCGACCTAATGCTTCGACAAATGCCGAAGTTGTACTTTCACCTTGAACATCTTCAGCAGACCTCCGGTATCGTTTCTCATCTTTACTGTCTGTCATGTATATGCAACCCTATTGAAGATAGCGAATACGAACCTCCGCTCATTAACGTCTTCTCTATGCAATGGTTCTTAACCATGTTCGCTACGTGCCTGCCAATGTACCTTGTTTTTCGCTTATGGGATTCTTTGATGTTGGAAGGGTCAGAGATCCTGCTGCGAGCTGCCTTGGCTATCTTCTCAAAAATCAGCAGGTAATCATGTGTACTGTTTCCTTTTCCATTTTCTGTTTGAGAAAGTCGGTAATTTAGGTACATACTGAAGGCGAACAGCGCCGACGAGTTCTATGAAATCATGGGCATTGTCTGTCAGAAACTGCAAAAGATCGATCAGCACCAGTGCAACTTAATGGTGCAATGTATCTACAACATGGCTGAATTTCCATACCCTGGGCTAGCCGAGTTGAGGGAAAGACACATGTGGAACATTCAGCCGTTTTCCTCGACGTTCAAACTTCTTAAGACTCAAGTATGGGGCATACTGAAGACGGACATCGATGAAAACTCTGACGAAGAAGTGAATAAATTTGGATTCATTTGTGGTACAGGTGATTTTGCAAGCTGCTCTCTGTTTTTCATATTCAAGTTTTAAGGGCGGAAGCATCATTCGAACAGTCCCACTCAAAAGGAACTAGGTGCTTTACAGAAGCAGTACAAATTGCTAATGCAAAGACAAAAGCAGGCTGCTTTAATCATACACAGTAAGTGAATGTATCTATTTTTATGCATGTTAAACAGTTCGAAAGGAGGAAGAAAGAAGTCGGTTTTCATCTTGGTCTGATTATTACACTGAATAGTCAGCTGTTACGTCAATGACAGCAAAATGCAACCACGGAGACTCCGGCATCAACCAGCATGATCGTACATCTACTACATTCTGCTATGACCACACCGGAATGCCAAGCCGTCCATATTTTTTACAAGTCGACGATCAACTTACTACTCATTTCTAGACTGGTTGCGCCGAAGTAATGCGTTATTAATTTTTTGCGGTTAACACGAAGATTTTCCATTCAGTGGATTCGAACCCGGCACCATCAAGAGACCCTGTGCCTCCACTAGCACAAACATCGCCTGATTTTGTACGCCTCTAAATCACGTTGTTTTGGCTGAACTGAGGCTAAACAAACAGCCCTGAGTGACAGCGTACTCAGTTAACATATTCCTCATGAGATAAAATTTCTAGTACTGCCTAGTAGGTCAGTTTTCTGTAAATCTAATAGAGAGTCGAAAACTTCGGGTTGAATTTCACCGTTTTTTTTCCTGCAGAAATTCACAGAGCTCACAAGAGCAATGGCTTAAACCGCAGTCAACGTAGAAAACGGAATACAGCGGGCGGGTACACATTTGGATAATTACCACGATGGATTGAAAGCGATCGAGTGGGTCAAGGTGAATTGTAGCCGCCCTAAGAAGGGCATGTATCAGACAATATGGCTCTGCCTTTCGACCATTTTTGTGATCACCGTAGTTGTTGTTCCATGATGAAATTTAGCTTATCTTGCTAGGATTTTAACTCATAATTTTCGCAATTTTGAAATGATAATGCGTTGTTTCGTTCTCCAACCGCGCCTCTGTCATGTTATAACTGTTACTGGAAAAAACTAGCACATCTCCGTCCATTCTCTCCCTGGTATGTAACGAGTTCAGTGTAATGTAAAACATCTATCTGTCATTAATAGCTTTCAATGTGCTTTGTCTCTCACCACTGAATGGATATGATTTTTATTTCTGCTGTATGTTCCGTGGAACTGAATTGGGTGACATTCGCTTGCGCTTCCATCACGAAAGAGGTCATTTGAATACGTACTCTAGATACAAACTTCGTCGTGAATGTCTTTAGTACATAGATACGGTCCCTTTTATAATGTTAGATGCTGTAAAGGGGCTAGTGAAACACTGTCGTTTGTGGTCAGTGAAACTGATGATTCATAGTAGCTAATGCTACTCTTTGTCTACCACATACCACATGATAATTTGTGTTTATTATGAAAACTTTGATGAAAATTTTTAGATGCACGTGTAAAACGCGAAAAGTACAGTAAAGAAGCGTCAGCTGGGAAAACCGATATGTTCAACCATCTGTTTTTACCAACTCAAATGAGATCAAGCTTTACGTAAGTTTATTTTCCAACTTCTCGCTGGCATTTTCTAAAAATTACGTTTTTATGTAAATTTAAAATGATGGGTGACTTACTCTCACTCCTTGTGTACCGATGTATTAATATAATATTTGCCGCCTCTGAAGGAGTGGCAAACAAACGAATAAATCAAAAATGGACAGAATGAATTTATGAGTGAATGTGGTATTTATTTTCCTATCATTGATCTATGACCTTCTGCAAAGGGTTTATAGTAATCAGCTGTTGAATAATCTGTTGCCATGATTAGCGACAGTCGGTATCAATCATTTTCGATCCACTGCTAAAAAAGGTCTACACGACTTTGCCATAGAATAGTATCTTCAAACATTCTTATCCACAAATCTCCTGAGCTCTTCTTCCCGTTGATGTGGAGGCCTTTTCTTAGGCCGTTCAAAAACGCTGTGTAATACGTTTTTTATTCAATGATAATCTGTTCAGATTGCAACTTGACCTTTTCTCTGTTATTTCAATTTCTTTGCTTCCAGTAACATCGCGGATTCCTGTTTATGGTTTTACTCGTTCGTGCGCATTCCAATTTCTTCTCGTTATTCCCATCATGTACCTTTCTGTGCTGCGTTACATAGTATATGAACATATATCTTTAGAGCCAGTGGACTTAACTGGTGGCCATCTGGCACGTCCCCGGAATGTAGATAATTGAACGACTTCCAGATATGGAAGTTTGATACAACAAATGCGCTGTCACGGACAGACAGTGGTGAAACTTCCAGGCCGTGGCTGGGTTGAAGCTGGACAATTTGAATTCTCAGACAAAAGTCACAATGCCAAATGACACTGTCATATCGAAACCAAAGCCACCGCCTGTTTGAAGGAGAAAGGTCGCCAAGGTCATCTCAGCTATGTGGTCAGACGTCGGTTCGCCAAAGGCTAGAGGAGAAAACTAAAATAGAAAATCAGGCTGAATTGGGTAACCTGCCGTTAGCCCTGCCAGAGGCTGGTAAAGGTTCATTTGGAACACAACCTGTATCGGTCGGCGCTAATCTGTACCGATTACCGGTATACGTGATTCACGTGATATATATCTCTATGTGATCAGTGAAGAATGAATACAGTTTTAAATTTTTTATTTTGTGATGTCGGTCCACCATGCTTCATGCATCAGAAAGTAGAAGGTTTTGAAATCAATAATGTATGTTATGATGCTGTTGCAATCCATAGTCTCTTGACCTCCCCCCCCCCACAGTTCCTCCGCCTCACACTCTCTAAATATGTATTGATAGCATGCATGGTTGCACTGCTTCTTGGCGCAATTTGCAAATTTTAGATTAAACACTTTCGCTTTTAATGGTACAATTGAACTTACGCCGCACGTAGTTCAACCGAATGGAATGAGGAACCAGTATGCAACATTTTCTAACAAACAAATTGGGGAAATAGCTGACAACTCCGTCAGCGAAGAGAATCCGGCTACCAGCGGCTATGGGTCATTCGCGAAAGATCCAGATGAACCTTCGTCCGACCTAGACCCTGCGGATCCGGAATTTATACGGTAGCACTGCCGCGGCTACGGTGATACGATAATAGATTGAATCTACATTTTTCAGCTGCTTTCGACGATGCTGCAGCTGTTCGAGCTTGCCGGCCTTACAACAGGGGGATGATTGCAAATCTCAGTTATACGTTGTACGAAAATCTCGTTCTGCCAGTAGTTTCGAACGTATACCGCGACGCGTAGCCCAGGATCAGGCCTGTAGTGCAAAGCCAGAACTCCGGTCTCAGAGCGTCTCATGGAAAAACCACTCGTCCTCTTCAACCTTGTCGCCGCTGACCCCGGCGAGCACGCCTCAGTTGTTCAAAGCAAGAGTAGAGACTTCGAAGGCGCTGGTTGATTCAATCGTCAAATCCGCCAGTCTCAAGTCACAAAGTACATATTATCCATTTCCGGTTGTTAGGCATTCGAAAATTTTTGAACACGGACGCAAATTTGGGCTCTATGGCTAGCTCAAACCATATTTGTATTTGCGGGTAGAGACGGGTTATTTTGTACATATGTATGCATTATTATAATGTTTAATCTAGGGATGGGATGGCTGCTATAGTAGATTGCGCATCTGTTCAGGTGTTTTGATCCGATGCTGATGGCTGCCTAAATGGCAGTGACGGTGCAACTTTGATAACAGTTATGTTTTTCGTTTAGGCTGTTTTTTAGGCTGTTTTTTATTGCGTTTTTGTTGTGTTAATCTAATTATTCTATAAACGAGGGGAGCAGTTTTTGGCTTGCACTCTGCGCTGAGTGTGTTTATTTTGAGTGCATTTAATAAAATTTGTTACTGATGGTCGTTCCTGTTGCACTTAGACTGACAAAGACCGTAACATTATATATGACGCATTCAGTATTTAATAGTAATATGCCCAATATGCTCGAACATCTCCTTTACTTTCACAGCGAATATATGCGGTACAACAGAAACAGAATATTTATTGTATTATATATCAGCTGAATATTTATACAGTCCAACATACTATCTCTCAAGAGAGATTTTTTGAATAATAGATTTTTTACGAAGCTCATTTCTTCCATAAACGTCTAGATCTTGAAGTTTTATCTCTGGAAACGCGTCTAAATATAGGCCCGAACAAAAGATGCTCCTGATCCCGCGAATGTTTTCACCAACACTTCACGTACTAAGTACTTGATAACTAGCAACTAGGATGCGAGTTGTAATTTACACGGAGGGAAAACACAATTTTAAACAATGGTTTGAAGAAATTTGCAGAAGAATATCTCAATTTTTTAGATTTTTGATCTCTAAACATTGGCATTGTTCAGATTAAGTATTAAAACAAATTTTAGTCAATTTTTTAAATGAGAAAAAGCTCTAGCTTTGATGAATTTTTAAATTCAATCCCACTATCCGGTCATCATCGCAATAATGCAAAATTTTCAACATTATAGTAGTGGTAAAGCATGATACTCAAGTAGAGTAAAATTTCAAAGCAACGCAGCAAAAAGTTGAGTTGAGTAAAACGCGCGATTACGAAAACAGATGGAAACAGGTAAAACTTTTAGTGTTGAAGACAATGAAAAATAAAACAAGAGGATGAGGCTTATATCAAAGATTTCCAGTAAAGACAGATGTGCAAAGAGCTCCTGTAGTAGTTGCATATCTTTCTCATGTTAAGTGACTTGTTAGCAGATTTTTCTAAAATTGACCGTAGCTTGTCCCTTTTACATTTCGGAATGTTGACTTTTTAACTCTTGAAATTGTTTTCATTGAGGGAATGTACAGCAACGCCAGAATTTTCTAAATGGCCGTAACGAAATTCCCGTTTCGACTATCTTTCCAATATAATGCATGATAGTCAAATTTATATAAAAATGACAGAATATATATCACAAAGTGAAACTGATCCTTGCCGAGGGCATACGCATTGTAATAACAAAAAAAAATTCTCCCCACCCATTCGCATATAGAGAACGCTATGCAACACTACTCTACATATTCAAGCACCCATAAATATTTCTTGCACACTACATCATGAGCGGCTAATCAGGACCATTAACTCGCGTTCACGAACCAATTTTTACGACCAATATCGCCGATATTTAGAACCGTATATAACAAACATACGCAAAGGGGTACTACGGCATCTCTATAGCGAAATTTTAATAGATTACAAGAAAACCTTGCATCTTCAGTACACTTCGCATCCTACAATGATTTGCAAAGTTTTAATACAGTAGGGCATGTAATTAAATTGCGGGTTTGCTTGTTAGTTTCGCCGTTCATCGATCTTTCTGTGTGTAATAACTAAAGTTTAATAAATCAAAATTACTGTTGAAATCTTTTAGACGAGTCGCTGGCCTTACGCGTCTCGACATGGTCCGGAATAGTGACATCCGGAAGAGCCTTGGA